CACAGCAGATTTGTAGGTGGAGAAAAGGAGCCTTGCTGAGAGACAAGTGGAGGGAACCAACATAATCACATACACATCACCCATAAATATCTAAGTAAGAATGGAGCAGAAAACGCATGAAGCATCCTTCTCTAATGGGACTCAACTACACTCATATTTTTTTCATAGGTGACAAGAAGAAATGACAGCATGTAATTTCAACTAATTTGATGCAGAAGGATTGCTCATAAAGGTCTCACAAGGGCTGGAAGCCTAACTGTAGACAGACCCACCCAGAACTTGTGCTATCACACATAAGACACACCTAAGTGTTTTTAGCCCGGTTTAACAGCTGAAGGAGTAAGATACAAATCAATACAACACTTCAAGGCTACCCTGAGGAAGATCAGAGGAATAGGGTTCTGCAAGGAGAAATGCCAAAAGCTACACTAAATAGCATATCTGGATATATCTAATCGTGTCCTAACTCCACAATGCCTTAAAACCTACCAAACGTTCTTAAGAAACACAGTCTAACATACAGAGAATACCCAGAGCACAACTGTTACGTCATTGCCAAAATAAAGGTATACGGAGAGAGGTTCCACATGCCGTGTTCTTAGTTGTCATTGCCAAAATAAAGCTATACAGAGAGAGGTTCCACATGCCGTGTTCTTAGTTTGGTCCTATTCCATATCTCAGTCAGTCTCCTGCAGACTGGAACAAGAGAGACGCTTCTTTCATTCACAGATGACATGAAGCTGGGAAGGGCCATCAGTATGCCACACATTGGAAATCAAAACGGCCACAGCCAACAGGGAAAAAGGTTCTTGACAAAATTAGGATGTAATTTGACAAACGGGACAAAAACAGAGAGGAAGGCTGTTTATTAGACTGCAATCTACTGGAAAGGATTTGATGGTCAACACAGATCAAAAAATTGAACATAAATCAGCATGGTGTTGAGAAAAAGGTAGATGCCACACAAGGGGTAATCACCTTCTCAGCAACATTCAACTTAACTCAGAACACAGTTTTGTTACAGTAGGCTTAGGGATCAGCCTCCCCCAAACAGCTATTGCTCCAAATGGGTTAGTGATCACTGTGGCTGGTATCACTCAGCAGCCAGTAATGAACCACGAACACTTATCCCTACTCAAATGTTTGTTTCCTTTGAATTGTTAACATTTAGAGTAATGCTGAATGTAACGTACAGTGATAGATATTCCACTGATTTACTGGAGGAAAGAAGGAGAGTTCTGTTGCTCACTGGAGCATGGTGTTGTTCACAGGACATAATTCCTAGTTTAAGAGGGAAAAATCACTTCCGTGTCTGAGGAAGAGAAATAAGCATTATGTTAATTAAGAAGAAATGCAAAACTGTGCTCTGAATAAAGAAGGAATAAAATGAGTTTTGGAGCAAGACCATAAATTTCTCCTGACATCCTAGAAGTCTTGAACAGAAAGATCATGTATAAAAGCTACTGCACTCCCCCCAAGAGAAATACTCAAGTGCATCCCAAGGAATCTGAACCTAAGGGTGACTTCAAAAAGGGCGTGCTTGAATGTGAATTATTAGGCAATCCCAGTTAGGCTCTCTCTAGCAGAGGCAGCTTGCCAGGAGAGAACTTCACAAGCTCAAGCCCACGACTGCTTAGCATGGAACTATGTGTTTGTCTCAGAGTAAGTAGATTTATGTTGTGTAAGTAGACTAAGTACAGATTTTCTTTCATTTCTTCACCCATGCTTTACAAATGCGTGATTATGTTATTACATGTAGATACTACAAACAAATACTTTTATTTCCAGTTTACCTTAATCTGTCTTAACCTATGGCCCAGCTACCCAGCACAGATTCTGCAGTGTCCGCAGGTAAGAAAGGTGTTTCCCCTCCCATCACACAGATCAGATTCTGGCACCGCAGGAATCGGACAGGACCCAAGTACACCCAGTGACTCGCAACAACTGAAGAGTCTCTCTGACATGCAACAGGTACGAGTACACGCTTATCCCTTGCAACTGTTGGGATCTAGATCATGAGCAGACCTCCTGCTGACTGCTTCCTACACAGGCGGTATCCTTGCTTACTCCCCACTCACAGGGAGCAGACCATGGGCTCTGAAATCTTTGCATTATTTCAAAGGCAGGTGTGTGTGCAGAAACAAGCAAGGTAAGTATTATAATTATTATTGGAATGTGGGCATCTAAAACATTTGGAACTTGCACTATTCAAGAAATCAGACATTTTGTTCAGAATTCTTGAAATAATATTTGAGATCTAAATGCAAACACATTGCGTTAAATAAGTGGTACTGTTTTGATATTTGTGCTTCTGCTGTGTTTACATTCCTGTTTGATACAGAAAGACTTCAGTCTTATTGCACAGATCCAGGCAGTACTTCAAGCCAACTGATAAACGAGTTAGTGGAAACAGACTGAAGTGCTAACGTCCTTTTTACTGTTCTTCACTAGAAATACAAAAATGGGAAAACAATACTAAACCAACAGTTACTTTGATCTCTGAACCTTAAAAAGAACCCTCTGTTCTTTCTCTTCTGTTGTTGCATTTGTCCAGGGACTGGACAGGGAAGATGTCGATTACTGTCAGAGGAGAATTAAAACCTCAGCTGTGCCTTCTGCTCATTGCAAAATCCCAAAGATAAATACACAGTAATCTTCAGAAACAAGTGACTTGTAACATCAGTCTGGGGAAATGGAAAGAACTGAATATAATCTCACAGTAAAATTCTGCTGCTGAGAACTTCATTCAAGAAAAGCATTTGTGAATGCTAGGTAAGCGACTAAGTAGAATCGACTTTTACCTCAATAACATGTGAAAGTAACTGAATGTGTGTTAAAGTAACTAATCTTCTCAGTGATAAAGAATTGAAACTTGAAAAGCAAAACTGCAAGTTACACTTCTGTAAGACTTAAGAGTGGTAAATGAAGTATCTTTCATTTTAGAGCAGATAGTGGTTCTTGCAATATCTCCTATTCTAAGAACAAGCAGTTTGAATGATAACACTTTAAGATATATTTTGGATCACTAAATAACATTTAGATCACAGAGGTTTTCCAGTGCCAACTTCTGAAGCTACTACATTAATAAAATTCTCTTCCATGAATAACATTAATAATGTAGTATGACCTTTTCTCTAAATATTAGAATTTTGCATTCTCTCCCTATGTCAGAGTTTATTTCAGCTATTCAGTATTGGATCTGTTTGAAAAATAAAAAGGATACACTTGGTAACATTCAGAATAAACACTATGATGAATCACACATTCTTGTGAGGTGTATATTTTGCCTATGAAAATATTTAAATTCATACGCACATGTTCGCTTGTCTGTGTGAGACAACATTTTTGTTGTACTTTTGAGGTCTTGGGCCATAAATTAGTTGTGTACTGACTGAGTCTGGAGGGAATGTCTTCTAAATTTTAAATACATCCATACCTATTTAAATTTGTTATCTAGTTTCCAAGAGTTTAAAGGAAGAACAACAAAACCAAACCACTATTTGTGTCACCTATACAAAACCAATGCTTTCTCTTCTATCACTGAAGAAACAAAAGCAGAAAATTATGCTAAAATCATACTCCATCACCTGCAAACACCTGAGCCACTGCTTAATCAATATTCTCTTATCTTCACTCTACAACAGATAAATGCTTTAATACGTTAGGCAACGTATGTTTTGCATAATGTAGACTTCAAAGCTTGCTGAAATCAAATGTTTCCTTTATGAGGGCTCCAGTAGACTTGACCACATCCAAGAAAAATATGTATACAGCATTGTACTCAACCACCCTCCTCATCTCTTCTCTTTCCCCTTCTCTCAGGGCCCCGTTTGTTTTTGAAATAACGCCACCACTGGGCTGAAAGCAAGTTAAACACAGAAAGGCTAATTAGATAACTCAATAAACTTCTGAATCGTATCTAGAAAGGACTTTTCTTTTGAGGATATGCTATATGCTGAGAGTATGCTATACTGATAGAGCATTATTCATATTATTCTGTTAGGGTACATGCACAAGTATCTTTTAACGGCGACACTGGTAGATGCATTGTCCATGTATACAGAGATGATCATTATGCTAATTTTTTGCAACCCAGCAGAAAACACCTGTAGTACTGAAGATAGCTTGGCTTAAACAGACAAATTCCAGTCCTGTGAACAGCTCTTTCTCTTGCAAGATAAAGCATAATTTTAAGGCAAAAAAGGTCCAGACTGAAGCCAGAACAGGCAGGTATAATTTGCTAAACTAGTAACTACTCACCTCTACCCTCTTGGTTTCAGCTGTATCAAAGAGTTCCAAATTCTTTACTGTGGGAGTGCAGAGAGTGTTACTCTCATAAATAACTTGACGGAAGAGATCAGATTTTCACACAAAACACAGAAATTGAAGGTTAAGAGGGAGATCTGGCTAAACTTGTGCATCATTCAGGAGTCAGCCCATGCTCCTTATCTCCCTTCAATTTTTCCTCCTCCCTGAATTACATCACCTGGAGCTACGGCTGCAGAGCAGCATGTTCTGAGACTGCACAGACAGAACTCACTGACCCTCCATGGGATTCATGGCACCATCATGCTTCCAGCTTCTGCCAACAGAGCTGGAAAGATGACCAAGCCCTAAAAGTGCAGTGAGTTAACATGGGGCAAAAATACATAAATGAAAAAGCACACTACTCTCCTGTGTAATGGAGACAACTTCTATTTGTACCATATATCTAAGTTATCTACACATGCCCCCAGAAACAACACAACTCTTTGGTCTACATTTTAGCATTACAGTGCAAAAATTTAAAAACCAGACCCTCTCGGGCTGTAACAGAAACCAAATACTATTCGTCTAGCATTTTGCTTCAAAAAAAAAAAAAAAAGTAAAAAATTGTATGCAATTTCAAAGAGATACATCTTTGAGATTAATGGACTGTCCAAAGAACCTCAAAGAAATATCACTGCCCTGAAATGCAAAACAAATCTAAGATCAGAACTTGAGGTCAGAAAAGGTTGTACTTACTCCTTATTCCTGCTTTTAATGCACGGCTGGTAAAGGACTTTGACAGCATTCCAGGTCCCCAGTGGTCCAGAGCTAGGCATGAAAATATCTCCAAACAGTGTAAAAACACTGTGGGACGAGGAACTTCCTAAAGACTCCACCAGCAATGTGTCAGAATTTAAAAGCCATATCTATAAATGAAGAAATAATTGACTTTACTGTAGATTACATCAATTTCAATTTGTTCCTTTACTCTGATCCTAAATCAGCTGATACTAAAGCCACATTCTTACAAAGTTTCTAACAAAGTGTTAACAAACATAAATTGACATTTTAATCTTCAGCACAGTCTGCACAGCCTCTAGTGGAGAAAAACAGGTTAATACAATAAACTGATGCCTGATTTATCACAGTCACTCTTAAGATCATTATTTCTGTGAAGCTGCCTCTTTTTGTGGCTGCAGCATATTCCCTTTGACAGTAACAAAAGAAACAGTCCCAAGTCATCTGTTTCAGTATCAAATGGATTATTCTTCTAATTTCATAGTTTTTTAGGAATTAAGTCGAGCATATGGTGTTGAACAACTGAGGGCTAAAGACAGGGAACTGAAAGACTGCCCATTGGAAGTGCCAGAAATTTAGGATTTTTAGAAAAAGCATGATAGTTATGACTGGATGGAGATAAGACATGCAAGGAAAAAGAGAGCAATTAATGTGGTCTAAAAGGAAGGCTGGAATTTACAAATGGCTGTAACAGACTCTTACGTGGAAAATAAATCTTTATCAAATTTGATAATGGGACTGGCATTCTTCAGCACTACTTCCTCACAGCAATTCATGGGATATTTACTGGGGAGAGTTTTGAGAAATCTGGACTTTTTGCACCACATTATGGATCTCATTTAATCTTTGTGTGATTGTGCATCAGTGTTCCAACTTGGATTCAGGGCTTTCATGTTAAGCACTGCACAAAAACGTCAGGCTTTTCCTTTATTCACAGCCTGCAGTAGTGAAGTGATCCGAGTTACCAATGGAAATCAATTTTTACAAGTCCTGAGCTTGTATAAAATGTTTATATATGAAATACTTATCATAGAAAACAGGATTTATGCAGTGCTGCTCACTAGAGAGTAATCTTCTGCTTCTCATGACCTAATCAGCTTCAAGTAAAACAAGTTACATGATGTTAGGTAGCAGACATATGATATCCCCTGTGGAGGGAGAAAGCCACCAGTAACAGGACACATAGTATATGTCGTAATTGAATGTGACAGTCACAATTTATCAGAGCCCAAGGCTCAGAACTTTACAGTGGAAGCTTCATAAAAGAGGAATGAGATATATTGATAAAGATGTCTTGGGAGGGGATGGGAGGAGGAGAATCACTTTAGCATATGCGCATAAATAACGACAAGCAACTGCACTTGGCTTAGAGAGTGGCTGTTCATCAGTTTTGCTCTGGTAACTCACTGTACACATTCATAGCCTAAACTGCAAAATATACCTCATTAGCTAGGACCATTACACATGGTGCTTTAAGCCAAATGTTGAAGAGGTGTTGGAGAAAATGGGGAAAAAAGAGAAGTGTCTTATATACACAGGCCACTGCCAGTACATTTAGCTTTAACTAAACAGAGTTTCCTCCTTTTGAAATTATTAACACTTCCCTGTGAAGGAGCCTCTTGGGATGCTCTTCAGAAGGGGAATATCCTTCGAATCAGCCTAGGGAACAACACAGCAATAGCTGCCTGCTCCTTTCAGAATCCTTCTGCAACTAAAGGGGGCCTACAAGAAAGCTGGGGAGGGACTTTTTACAAGGGCCTGTAGTAACAGTACAAATGGCAATGGCTTTAAACTGGAAGAGGGAAGATTTAGATTAGATACTAGGAAGAAATTTTTCACGGTGAGGGTGGTGAGGCACTGGCACAGGTTGCCCAGAGAAGCTGTGGATGCCCCATCCCTGGAAATGTTCAAGGCCAGGTTGGATGGGGCTTTGAGCAACCTGGTCTGGTGGAAGGTGTCCCTGCCCACGGCAGGGGGGTTGGAACTGGATGGTCTTTAAGGTCTCTTCCAACCAAACCATTCTGATTCTATGAACTTGTTTTAGAGAAAGCAACCAAAACATTTAATTTGCAACATGGTCCATTGGAAAAGTACTTCCTTCTACCACAAGTGTTGTGGCATCTGACAATAATGTTCTATCACTTGTTCAGAGTATGTCTTTGTCTTAACAGCAATGCAACAGGTCTGTATTAATAATTTAGCACACAATAAAGAGAAAGCAAATGAATTTTTGCAAGTGGAAGGACACTTGGCCACGAGAAGATCAACTTCTGAACTATATTTGCTTCTTTAAGCAACAATTTCCTTCTTTTCCTCATGCATGAATTATTTTTTGATCTTGCTTTTGGTCTGCATGAACACTCACTCACCAAGACTCAGTGTGTTGACTCAAAGCAGTTTATACATGTTATTTCTTGTTAACATAGTTTCAAATTTTGATCTGTGCTTTCAACTATGTTACTCACAATGTAAAATCTTTCCTTCCTCTCTACCACTTTGTACAGCAGAGCCTGCACATGGCCTGATGACCTTTTCTGAAATGGCAGCATCAGGAGGAAGTGTTTGGTTTTTTGTTGGCCTTTTTTTCATTGTTTTTTTGTTTTGTTTTTTTAAATCATCTTGTCAATAGGCTTCAGAGATGTTCTTAGGAGAAAAGCTGCAACAAATCTCAGTTATACTTTGTGGGATTTCATCCAAACAGGTGAAATACTACGATTTACATTCTGTGATCAGTTTCTTAAAATCTCAACCTGTGTCTCCAGCATCAATTTCTGGACAATTAGGCATCAATTTGAATTTAATATGGCTAAAAAAAGCTGTTGTTCCTCCTCGCTAGTTCTTTCCTAGTTATTGCAGACATTACCATTACTTTTGTCATCACACAAGTCAGTAATGCAAACATCTTTCATTACAGCTTCTTTGTCCCCACATTCAGATTGTTCAGATAAAGATGCGGTTTCCTCACACTTCACAAAGAATAAAGCTCTCCAAGAGAGCTGGGTAGCTAAGTCCCAACAGAGGACTCATTATGCCACATCTTAATCACTCCCATGTCCCCCTCTCCAACCTTGACAAATGCAAGCTTGTTCTGCTCATGCCCTCCAAGACATGGTCCAAGAATCAGTATCTGATTGACAGGTCTCTCCCATTTTGTTACATACTGATTTTCTTGTGATATCTTCCCACTCCCTCTCTACTTACTCCTGAAATACAAGCTGCCTTACTTTCAAAATACTTTACAGCCTAATCCCACTCCAAAAACCATCTTTCATTCAGTACTGAAAGACTGGAGGTAGTATTCAAACACTCCAAACTGTAGCACACATCCTGTGATTTTCACAGATGTATCTTATTGTGTTTTATCAGGTTGATCCCATCCATGGGATAAATTCCCTGTATCTATCCACAAAACTACTTATTTACCTCTTTCAAACCTACTCTTTTTTATAGTAGAGAAAAAAATGACATCTATTAAGATGCTGCTCTGCTGACCAATAATGCACCATTTTGCTTGTGTTCTCCTATGTCACCATTTGCTGTCCTCATCTTATCCTTAGCTTGGAAGTCATGCAACTTCAAGGTAGGGAACCCTTCAACAGTGGAGCAAAGAGAGAAGGCAAGTGATTCACCTTTCAGAGAATGTGAAGAGGGCACAAATTATGTTAGTTAGGACAAATAAGGAAATCTCTATAACCACTTTTTTTCCTGAGGCAAAGAGATTTTTATTTATCGTCATCCTTTAAAAAGAACAAACATAAGTAGTATATAGATTTCAGGAACTTGGTTATCACCAACTTAAACAACAGAAACTCATATGATGATATCCACAAATAACATAACCGGTAATGTTAAATTACACATACAGAGGAAATAAGTAAAATTAGCATACGCAGTATTAGCGGTTTAAAAAAAAAATAATCAAAAAGACTTGTGAGACCTTAACCTTAATGATCACATACACAGGCTAAGCTGTGTGCATTCACGTATATAAGCACAAACACTGTGAAGGAGAATCTTTTGGCTCATTCTCAAAACAAACAAGTGGGACAGCTGGTCCATGATGCACCAGTGATGAGACCACTTGTCTAACTTGGCTGTGTACTCATAGCCTCAAGCACCTACATTTTTTACTGTTAGCTGTTTGCAATCATCAATATAAACAGTGCTTACATTACACTTGTGTTCACAAGGCCTCCGAGTCCTAAGACTTAACCCACAACTCCAGACCACCTGCTGGTGTGTACACAGCACCTGGAACCTCACCTTGCACATCAGTAAGGGCTTTTGATGTTAAACACACACAGAAAAAATAATAATAACTTACTAATAAAAAGGAAGGGGTACCAAGCAGAAGCCAGCCCCTATGCTGATTCAGCTTGCTTTTCTAATCAAAACATTGGCAAAAATGCAACTCAGAGCTAAGAATAATGGCAACCTGCCAAATAAGGTGATTTTTCTGTTAGAAAATAACCAGTTTGTTCTACATAAGCCACTAGACTTAACCATCAGAATATTACGTAACTTGTAAACACATAAGCTACAAGAGAAAAATCACAATTTTTAATGACTCCTAAGCTAGATTACATAGTGATAATTATGGGTCTGCTCATGAGACCTTCTTTTATCATCACAGAAGAAGTATTTCTCAGTGGTTGCATAAATGCTATCCTGGCACTGAAATTTATTTAAAAGCAATAGATATAAACTTACCTCAGAATCTGGATGTTTGGAAATTATAGAACTTGGACAATGTATATATGAAACAGTTTAATTAGATTGCCTACCTCTACAAAGTGTATCTATAAGTTTACCCAGGGCAGGAATCTGCAATCATCTATTTCTTTACCTTTGTGCCTATGAATTACTTGTACAAACTGCAAAATTACAAATTCTGTGCCTATATTTAGCTCATGAATAAAAGAAAACATCCCTGGTTATACCAAGTGTATAGTATTAAGATAATTCCAGACCCAAATTCCTATCCATCTTAAAAGTTTGAGGAATTTAGCTGTCACTATTTAAATATCCAGCTTAGCCAAGTTTAACAGCATTAGAACATTAAGTATAATAGGCAATTTTATTTTTGTTTGCACTTCACTTTGCAATGCAATGTACTGATTACATTAGTAGTCTCTGCTGCCTTAAGAATATTTGTGAAAAATGCTACACAATTTGATGAACTTCTCGTGATTAAAGATAAGCAGCACTGGAGCAAGAAGATGAGATATATATTATAAAGTCAAAACTTAAGCTTTCCGTATTTTCTGAATACAAAACACAGTGTTATTTCTGTGCTACTTGCTATGCATCTCTAGTACTTTCATTACTGTATTAATAGAGAAAATTTCTATATGTACATCTACTTAGATGAAAAAATGGGGGGAAATTTCTTACTTGAACACAACTCTTCAGAACTACTTCAAGAATTTGAATTTGTTAATTTTCTTTAAACATATAATCATGAACAGCATAAATACTACATGTTAGGAGCTGGGATTCACCGGTTAAACCTTTTTCAGCAGG